CCCCCCCCCCCCGCCAGTCCTCCCGGACAGCGTCTCTGCACCCAGCACAGCTGCCGTTTCAGTTCTGGTTTCCTCTCTTCTCTCCAGGTCTTGGCGAGCTGTTTTCTTCCCCAGATCTCCGCCCCATTGCTGAGGGACCCCTCCTTGTCTCCAGTGTCCAGCATCAAGCCACCCTGGACCTTGCGGAGGCTGGAGTGCAGGCATCAGCGGCCACCAGCGTGGTGGCCTACCGCTCCTTCTCTGCTTTCTGCCTTGACCAGCCCTTTATCTTCATGATCCTGGAGAAGACCACAGGAGTCCCCCTTTTCTTTGGCAGCATCCGGAACCCCAACCCAGGGGCTCCCCGGCAGAAGAAAACAAAGGGCTTCCCGCTAAGTGAGGAGAAGGAAGGCCTGCCTTTCACTTACCAGCCAGACCCCTGGAAGCCCTGAGTGGCCGCAGCTTTCCAGAAGTCCTCTTCCAAGGCCACACACAAGAGTTTTGCCCCCCCCGCTGGCGTCTCGGGAATGGGGTGGATTCCACCCCCAGTCCGGCTTAAAACAGAGGCAGCCGGGGTGATAGCTGGCCTCCCTCAGCCACTAGCGGGCATTGGGGTGGAATCCCACCCCTCCGCTTGCCACACACCTGTGTCTCATCTGGGAATTAAGAGACTCCCCCCACCCCGCCCGCAACTGGAGGAACCCATTGGCCCGGACCCCACCAAACTGATTTCCCCTTGGCCTTCCTCAGTTCTTTCCTTGGCCTCAAAGCCAAGGGCGGAGGAGTCAGGGCAATTAACCTGATTAACCCTAATCAGGAGTTAGCCAGACTGAGCCCGTTCTGCCCCAGAAGCCCCTAGTCAGTCCAAGAAGCACATGGGGCCACCCCCTTCCAAAGACGCCCCCCTCCCTCCCGCTTGTCATTGTGTCAGAAGCCACAGATGGAATGGTAATAATGATTTAAAGGCCTCACAACAACCCTGCGAGGTTGGGATATAGACCACCTAACAAAGCTGTCCTAAGATCCTCAGATCATAATCCAGTTCAAAATTGTCCTTTCTCTTCATGCTTGTAAAACCTTAAGTGTAGATAAGATGCACAATTATGCAGCTAAAGTTTAAAAAAAAGGAAGAGTCAGCACTGAAAATTGTAAGGGGAATAATTAAAAATAAAACTGCTAATATCGTGATACCTTGGTGTGCTTCTAGGGCGTAGCTATTTAGACGTCTCCAAAAAGGGGCTGTTCTGTGAGGAGAGGAAAAGGGAGTTAGGAACCCTGAGAGGCATCGCGCCGCTGCTTCCTTAGCAGAAGGCCAGGGAGAAGGCCAGAGGTTCAGGACGGCCAGGAGAAGGCGCCAAGTAAAGTGAGTTCCTTTTGGAAAGTCTGGCCGCTGGTTGAGGCGGCTGGTTGAGGCGGCGTTCAGGAGGGTCAGAGAAGCTCGGGGAGGGAAAGGAGGACGGACACCTCAACAGCCGGTTGGAACCTCCACGTGCAGAGACCCCCGCCCTGAATATCGGTTCCTGGGGCAGCAAGCCTGCAGAGCCAGGCTCTTGAACCCCCTCTGGGTGGGGAGCCGTCGTCCTTCGGCTCAGTTCAGAACTCTTCTTCCCCGCAGCGTGGGAGGCAGCCGCGTTCAGCACTCACCCGTGTTGGGGAAGACAAACACCCGAAGCCCTGGGAAGCTTTGACGGTTAGGGGAGGGTCAAGGGAGGCTTTGGCCATGGACGGCTATGCCCCCAAGATGTTGGAGCAGGAGGAGGGGTTCTGGGTGGCCTGCAGTCTCAGTCTGAGGTATTCCTCTCTCGCTCATTGCCACCAAATGCCACTTCTCTGCTTGGAGCAAACAGGAGGACCCTGTTTCTATTAAGTTCCTTGCTGAAGAGGTGCCTTGAATGTTCCTCCAGTTTCTCCATCAATGGTGTGCGTCGCTTAAGATGAAGATGCGAATGTCTGAAGTCCCATAAGACTTCTAAATCCCCAGACGCAGTTAGGAGAGGCAGTCCATCAGTTTTCCAGGTCAAAGATGCTTCATGGCTGGTACCACACGCTCTTAGTGCTGGCGTAGGGCTGAAGACCATCTTGGGCGCTCCAAAAACTTGGGTGTGCCAAGACTCAAGATGGTTACTCTTCTTAAAACTAATGCAGATAAGGTATGGATAACATCAAGACCAGAGGACTTCACTCATAAGATACAAGGGCATTATGGCTAATGAAAAATTGGGGATTCCTCCTCTTTGCACTTAAGCTTTGGTCTACCCTGAAAGAAATAATTCTACAGGAAGCCTGTCCCTTGCAAGAGGCAGTAGCTCCACACTTGGTCTTGCTCCGGGAAGTATCTTAACTCTGACTGCTGCTCCCCCAGGTGCACCCTCCTGAGGCCATTTGCCAGGGGAAGATGCCTCTGAGCGAGGGGAGCCGCTGCGTCTCCTGCCCCTCATCTGGGTTGTGTCCTTCACTTGCTAACAGGTTCCCTTTGGTGGATTAGGCCAAACGTCCTGTGGCCCAGCACGGTCATTCTCCCCAGAGGCAACCAGGAGTCCCCAGGAAGCTCTTAAATGAGCCATTGATGCCACTCAGCTACGGGCTCATGGGAGATGGATTCAACAAACGGAGCCAGCCGATAGCCAAGGCAGACCTCCATTCGCCTCTCCTTCCAAGGCACCTAACTGGCCTTCACCGCACACCTCCTGCGGCAGGACACCTCGCGCATTACATCCACCGCTGCCTTTGTCCTGCCTGGGGGCTTTGACAGCACACGGTGCATTGATTCAGCTACTGAATTTGGCATACTCCCAGTTAAGTCTCCCATTCAGAAAGTGTGCTTGAAGCTGCCTACAAGGGAGCCCACAACCAAAGCAGGAAAAGCTGCCGAGCCCCAAAAGGACCTTCCCTTCTGGGGCCCTGGAACTGGGGCTCCATGCAATGGCCCAACAGGCTACGCTTGGCTACTTTTAGTGGGTTTTTGTTCACAGTTTTGTGCCAGCTCAGAAACTGGCTACTTCAGTAACCAGGTTTACCATTTTGTATAAACTCAACCCTGAAAGAAACGGCCCCAGGCCTAGTCTTTGTTTCTAACTTTTTTTAAACTGGCCACTTTCCAGCTTGGGGAAAAAAAATTTTTGGTGGCGTAGCACTAGCGAAGAGCATTTCACGATCTGGCTCCCCAACACCCCTTTGTTTCTGGTAGAGCGTCGCTTGACTCCAGCAGACGTGCTGGGTCAGAAACAGGAGGCTGCTGCTTTAAGAGGGTCCCCGGGAAGTTGTAACTTGAAGCCTGCTGCTGGTTGGGCTGGGAGAGCCGTGCGTTATAAGCACCACGCTTCTCCTGCCCTCTCGCACACCGCCCAGCCCGGCTGAGAGCAGCAGATTGAGGTAAGGAGCAATCCTGCCCCCCTCAGGCAGGGACCGCGTGGCGGGGGGACCCTGGGAAAAGCTGGCACAAAGGAACCCCTGGGGAGGTTGCCTGAAGCAGAAAAGAAGTCAGGGAGTACGTCAAAGTCTCTGGCCCTCAAAGCCACGCTGGCGGGCAGCCAGCCCATCCCCGTGTTGTGCCCGGGGCGAGTGCCGTTCCGCTCAGCTGGCGTTCTGGGCCGGGCCTGGTGCCCCCGCTCTGCCGCTGAGCAGCCCACCTTTGAGAAGAAACAGGGTTTCCACCCCCCTGCCTTCCTCAGCAGCAGCCAGGCTCCCCTCACTGAGCACGGGGCTCTCCAGGGCCTCCAGCCTCAACGGGGTGCATCTTCACAGCTGAGGCTTTCTTCTTGAGGGAACCGGTGCGGAGGAAAACCACGCCGCGTGGCGAAAGCCAAGATCTGCCTCTGCTTCGAGATCTGGGCTAATCAAACCCAGATGTTCAGGCTCACTCAAGCCCGGCGGGACTCCACCAAGGAACAGTCTGGGAACTCGGAGGCCGGCGACGGCCACGATGATCAAACCAGAACGCCATCCCTGCCTCCCAAGCCCATTCCTCCCCGCCCCAAAAGGAACATGGAGGGAGGAGTCCTTGCCCAGGGTCTTCTGCAACCAAAACGGCCACAGCGGTTCCTCCCAACGTATTTTGGGCCTCTGCTCTTTCCGCAGGATTTCTAGGCAGCTTCTCCTGTTGTCATGAGACACACCACCGTTAATTGGAAACTTGTGCGAATCAGCTGCCCCAAGGATTGTCTCCTGTAATTGTAGGCTTCTGAAGATCTAACTACCATTTCCACGTCGCCCTCGTGGCGCCAGCTTTGAGGGACAGGCTTCTGCTGAGGTTATAGTTTACTCTTTGGACGGGAGAATGCCCGGTCCAAGTTCATCCTCTGCAAACAGCAGTGAGATGTTAACACCAGAAATCTGCAACCCAGCCAGTTGCTCCCTTGTCCCAGAAAAGCCTCCAGATAGGAAGGGAGGTGGGGGCTAGAGGGTGTTACTCCCAACGTTGTCTGGTCTAGTAAGCAGCCTGAAAGCCAGAGATGTACTATGCCCGCTTATCTACGGATATTGGACAAGTGAGCAAGGTTTCAAGAAAGGCCCTACATCTTTCAAAGAATTCTCACGCAGAACTCCCGTCTAGTAAATGTATAAATGTAGTCCCCCAGCTGACAAATTTAAATGGTCCTGTAAGAAAGGCACTTTGCAAACTCTTTTTTCCATGCACGGTTGCTTCGAAAGGAGCAGTGTATCATGTTCATAGGTACCAACATAGAGAAACTGCACAACTATGCAATTCTAAACCCCAGAAGCCAGAAGACCTACAAATGTCAAAGCAGTAGATTTTAAAGAGAAGCTATTTGGAATTAAACAAAAGAAACGCAAAAGCTTCTGCTGTATTCAGAGCTGAAGGTAGGCAGAGATGTGGCAATTCACCTCTTTGCACCCAGAAAAGTTGGCAATGCTAAAAATTGAATTCTATAACCCTCATGTTGATTTATTTTGCTACTTTATCCTTACAGGAAGGGAAGCACTCTTGAGACAGCCTGCAGAAATAGCATAAAGGCAATTAACAAATGTAGAGCACAAGTAAAATATTAACCGTAAAACATACAACTCAAACCCTGCTCAATCACGGAAACATAAAATTGAATATCATTCCATTAAAATTCAATACATTTAAATATCTATTCAAAACTTAATGACATTAAAACCAAACAAATAAATCAGAACACAAGTCCTTGAGGCCCGCTTGAAGTAACCCCCAAAGATGAAGCCTCTCTCTCACGGGAGTTCCTAAGTGCCCGAAGTCTCTCTCAGACCTGCCAGCCTGATTAAACTTAATGGCATGCCCGTGACATACCTTATTAGGTTAGAAATTATTGTAGGCATGACATTTCCACCATGTCCACCCGCGGTTGGTTTCCTGTGAGAAAGTAGAAAGCTCAGGGTCCCCCCCCCCCCCCGTTGTCCAGGGGGCAGCTCCAAGCTTTTTGCCCAGGGGCACCATTTGACAAGTGCGACTCAAGTTCTAACTGGATGCCGCTACCAAGAGAAAAGCGGGGGTGACTATGCTCTGTCAGAGAGTGAGGCCAGATATCCCTTTTTAAAAGAGAGACGAAACCATGGAAGCGTCAAGAGATAGACCCTTGTAGCACAGACACAAGGAAAGCTGGGAACATGGGCAAAACCCAGTAGTTACATTTGTCTGTCCCCCGCCCCTCCAGGTTCCACCATGAAACATCTGATGGTTCTTCTGGGGCTGGGAGCCCTCGCCATCTCCTGCAGAAGCCAAGATGTGAGTCCTGGAGGCAGCCCACAGGTCAGTCCTGGAGGTTGGGGGTCTCCTGAAAGGCTGAACCCAGCACTGAAGAATTGCCAGTCGCTTTTGGTTAAAGCTAGCATTAGCTAGTAAGTAGAGGCTGGGAACAGACTGGATAACCCATGGGAAACTGAAGATGATGTACTTGAGGAATTCCCTCCAACTGTCTTGCAATTCCACCCTGCTGTGTTCCCCAAGTGTTGGACTTCGGCAGCCAAAGTTAGGGACTACTGCAGTTGAAGTCCAACACCCGTGGAAGACGGCCATCTTCCTTAGTCCACAATGTGGGCTGTGTCAGAAAGACAGTTCTCCTCTCCTTTATGACTGCTGCAATGGGATAACCCCACGAGCCAACTCTGTGTCTCCAAGGATCCTGAACCCGACCACGCGAGGGACGCCGAGGAGGAGGACCCTTTCTACAGGAGTCCTGTGAACAAGCTGGCAGCTGCCATCTCAAACTTTGGCTACGACCTGTTCCGTCAGCACTCGAGCCGGACCCCCACGGCCAACGTCCTGCTCTCCCCCTTCAGCATCGCCACAGCCCTCTCAGGCCTCTCGCTCGGTGAGCTCCCCCTTCTGTCCTGTCCAGCTCCAGGACCACCTCTTGAGAGCAAACTTAACGGGCCGTTCTTTGTGGTTGGCAGGTGCGGGCGAGCGGACAGAAGACGTGATTTCACGTGCCCTTTTCTACGACACGCTCAACAAGGCTAACCTCCACGACACCTACAAGGAGCTCCTGAGCAGCATCACCGCACCCAGCAAGGGCCTGAAAAGCGCTTCTCGCCTTGTTATGGAGAGAAGTAAGCCTTGGGTTTGCATTCCAGGGGAGCTGGGGGTGCTCACGGATCCCCAAGCACAGGCACAACCCCAGACCCAACCGGGAAACCACCTGTGAGAAAGTCTGCCTCCAGCAGGTGGTGGCCCCTGGTCTAGAGACTCTCCATTTGCCCCCTGGCCAACTGAGCCAGGCCTACTGGTAGCCAGCAAGCCTATTACTCCACAGCTTGCCTTTTGCCTTTTCTAGCCGCAAGTCTTCGGCAGAGACAGGGTTCTAATGAAACCCTAGTTGCACTGTAGCATTCACTGCTATCAGGGGTGAAGACAAACATTAATTTAATCCTTTTAAACGGGGACTGGATTCACGATTGCAGGGACTGCCAGGTCTGATGGCCACTGGCCATCTCTGGAATCAGGGGTCGCAGGCCCAAAATAGAGGCAGCAAGCAGGGCACAGGGTGACCGTCCTCCCTCCAAGCTAGACCTCCGAGCTGCAGAGGGCGTTGGGCTGGCTGATTCTAATCCATGCCAGAATGTTACAAGCGCCATTTGTTCACACTGCAGTCAGTCAATACAACCATTTAGTTCAGCTATTTTCACCCAAATTACTTGCAAGCCGTAAGGACGGGTCTTCTGTCAGCATCTCAACCTGGAGGGAAGGCGATGGAAGATGGCTGCCTGCCCCACTTGGAGGAGCTCGGGGCCACCTGCGTCTACGTTAATCTCTCGTGACCTAGAAGGTTAAAGAGGTTTTTTCACAGAGCTCTTCCGCTCGGTTGTCTGGAGATGTTTTACTTGACTCTGTGGTATTACTGCTTTCCTGGATTTGTCAGGCACCTTGCACGCCACGCAGCGGGTCAGGCAGGGTACAAACATAACGCTACAAAGCGTTCGCTGTGCCTTGGCCACTGGGCACAGGGCTCTTGCTATACCAGCCACAGACAGAGGTCCCCTGGCAGAGCAGCTCAGCCACCCAGGTCACTTGAGGGCTCTCCTCAGCTGAGAACGACGACGCGCTCCGTTTTGTCCTTTTCCCTCAGAGCTGAGAATGAAGATCGGGTTTGTGAACGAGCTGGACAAATTCTACGGATTCCGCCCCCGACTGCTAAGCGGAAACGCCCGAGTGGATCTGCAAGAGATCAACCAGTGGGTGCAGCAGCGGACCGGTGGGAAAGTCACCAGATTCCTAGGAGAGGTTCCTGCCGGGATCAGCGTCCTCCTTCTCGGGGCAGCCTATTTCAAAGGTGGAAAGGAGGCAGCAGTGGCTGGCTGCTCCCTGCAACTGCCTTTTCTGATCCAAAGCGGAAGCAGGTTTGGGGGGGTCCTTCTCCACTTAGCAGCCCAACATTTGCCTGCTACTCTTGCCACAGGACAGTGGGCGACCGGATTTGACACCAAGCTGACTAAGCCGCGAGACTTCCACCTGGATCAAGACAGGACCGTCAAGGTGCCCATGATGTCAGCCCCCACAGCAGTCCTGAAATACGGCTTCGACTCCGAGCTCAACTGCAAGGTCAGTGGGGCAGGAGAGGTGCTGGACCAACCCAAAGGGGGAACGCGGGTACCCAGTGGCTTCACTGGCAACTTCCCTCCACTTTGGCAACCCCATGACAACACGCTGGGCAGAACGACTGTGCACACGTGCTCCTTTGCACCGGCTGCCTGTCTTTGCCCAGCACTGAGACAGTCCCATCGCCCCCATTTCCACCACAAGGAGCCCGAGGCAGTCGTATATTCTGATGGCCCCTGCAGGTCTGAGCTTCGGCAACCACTGCAGTGCGTCCCCTCCCCTCACTTGGCAAGCCTGTTCTGTGCACAGACTGACACCCCCCCACAGTTCCCACACCATCTATGCTGGGGGCGGAGGAGCGAGGGGCCAGTAACTCTTGTCCCACAAATGAAGCAGCTGTCGGTCTCGCAAAACAAGCTCTTTTGGCCCCCCTGCCTTCCTCGAATGTTCCCAGATCGCCCAGCTGCCCTTGGCAGGAGGCATCAGCATCATGTTCTTCCTGCCTGAAAGCGTGACCCAAAACATGACCCTGATCGAGGAGAGCCTCACCTCAGAGTTTGTCCGCGACATAGACAAGCAGCTGAAGACCGTCCACGCTGCGCTGACTGTGCCCCGGCTCAGGCTGGCAGCCGACATGAGGCTGGCAGAGGCTCTTCGGGAAACACGTATGTACCGTGCTGGGTTCTCCAGCCGAGTTGCAGGGAGGCCCGGGGCCATCGCGGAGGCTTCCTTCTGTGAACACCGGCCAGAGGCCAAACTCCAGCCCTTCCGTGGGCCAAGGAGGGTTCCGGCATGGCAGCAACCACCATGGCCTATCCCAGCCAGCCCAGGAAGGCTGGACAGTGGCTCTCTTCTCACTGCTGCGGCTGGAAAGGTCACTTAGCTGCCAGGCCTTGGAAGCGGTGGCAGCGGCAGCCATTTGTAGCCAGCCTCCCGCAAACCTCACCGGCTCCTGCCGTCGTTTGCCTTTCTCCTCCCTTACGGTTTCCTAGATGGCTGGGGAGAATAACGGCTCCGTTCTTCCCCCGCAGGGCTCCAGGCGCTCTTCTCAACACCTGACTTTAGCAAGATTGCTCTTAAAGCCATCAAGCTTTCCCACGCACATCACAAGGTAGCTTTCGATCTGAGCGAAGACGGGACAAGCTCAGCGTTCACCTCCGACACGGAGGCCGCGCGGCTGAACTTCCCCATCAACTACGCCCTCGTCCAACCGTTCTTGTTTGTGCTCCAAGACAATGACACCGGCACCCTCCTCTTCATTGGGAAAGTCCTCGACCCTCAGCAGGCTTAGAGCTCCCCCGGAGACCCCGGAAGCAGGGGGGCTCCTTGACTGTGTCCGCAGCTGGTTTTGCTTACGTGGTCCAATAAAAGTGCTTCTACTTTAAACAGGCCTCACAAACCGCTTTTTCAGGGATCGGAGGACTCTCCCGCAGGGCAGCACCCTGCTACTGATGGAGAAGCGGGGAATTGTGGGGAGGAAGGAAAGGGGGGGCAGAAAAGAGGAAATGCTTTCCCCAGTCCCCTACAAGGCCCCCTCAGCTGAGTCAACAAATGCAGCAGCCTGTCTTCCACCCAGGCGGTGCCCTCAGAGTTAGCTACGGGCCCAGGCCTGGCATCACAGCAAGGCTGCGTGGGCAGCGAGGGAGAGGCCGTCTGGTCTGACCGAAGATCCCTGACCCCGCCACGTCAATCAGCAAGCAGGAGCGCTGGCTATTGTGACAAGGTGACCCCTCTGCACCACGGTCCAGACTTCTTGCTTTGGCCCCTTAAAAGGCGGGGGGGCGTCACCCTGGAAGCTTCTTCCCCACGGTATGACCCACTGGCGGGGCCTGCTTACAGCAGCTGGGCTGGAGCGGCAGGTGAGGTTCGGAGCAGGCCCTCCAGGCAGGCCCTCATCTCTCGCAGCTCCTGCAGCTGAACGTTCTGGGTCCCCAGATGCACCGACAGAACTGCCTCGGCTCTCTGGACGGCCTGCAGGGCTCCTGAGGCCACGCGCCTGGCCACCCAGGAGGCAAGTTGAGAGGGAAAAGGGTTAGCGAGGCTTCCCCTTAGCGAAACCCCTGGAGCGCCACTGCTCTGCAACCGGATGGACAAATGTGGCCGGCACCCAGGAGGCATGCCTTGCTAGGCCTCCACAGAGGGCCAGTCTGGGCAGTGCCTAGAAGGGGGACCATGGCGGTGGGCCAGACTGGGAAACTGAAACACCTCCCAGAAGGCCAAGGAGCATTTAGGGGTAGACACACTCATGAAACTGCCGTGTTCGCCTTTGCACATTTTGTAATGCAAACAGATCACTAAATTAACTCTGTCCTGCCACAGTTCAAACAACCAGTTCTAGGGAAGTGTAGAAGAGCAAGGACTTGAAGAAGAAATGCAAGGGCAGTTATATGAATGCCGGCGTGGCTCTGGAAGGAAGGAGCAAGCGAGTAAGAGGTTGCCTACTGCCCCCATCCTTTCTACCACAGACCAGCAAAGGGCACCCCCCTTGAACAGGCTGCTGGGGAGAATCGGGCAGTCTCCTTGCCCACGGCTGTCGTGGCAAGGTCAGTCCCGGAGGCAGGAGGCTCTCGTACTGGGTAGCCCCTTGGCTCACTAGGAGCTGGACCAGACCCACTGCTCAGTCCTACGATCCCAACAAGCTGACTTCTCTTCCCAAAGCAGCAGCAGCAGCAGCAGCAGCAGAAACCACCAATTGGCTCAGCGTGGCTTCAATTATTCTGCCAAATACAAATCCACCCACCCAGCGCCCTTCCTCCTGCCACAGGCCGGCCAGGGCCATCTCAAAACCCAGCCAGAGAGGGGAAGGTGTGGTGTGCTTACCCATTGAAGAGGACTTGTGCCAGTTTGAAGAGTTCCTGGCCCGCTTCTATGCTGGAAGGGCCGAAATGGGCTTCTACAGCCTGGATGCTCCTGCGCAGGTGCCCCGCTGCTTCCTGCCACCTCCCTAGGGCCAAAAGCAAAGGCAGGCTCTGCGTCACGACGTGGCCAGAGGCAGGGACGCCTCCCTGGCCCTCCCCTGGCTCTGCACCCCACATTTGGTGCCCCTTTCCTCTGGTGCAACGTGGGAGCCTCTGGCTTTAAAACGCAACGCGGTCAGTAGCGAGGATAAGCAGCCTCTCTGCAGGATATATTCTGCTTGCTTTTTTAAAAAATAATTTTTATTGAAAATTTTGATTGCAATAGTAAAAGCAAACGCAAACTAAACTCAGAGAGAAAAAGAGAGACAGAAAGAAAGAAATAAAAGGTGCAAGGAATGAAAAAGGAAAAGAAAAGAAATATTTAAAGAAATGACTTCCAATCTTCACCACCACAAGTATAAACAAACTTAGTAACCCTTCGGCCCCTACAAGCTTACAAACAGATGTCCCTTCTTCCCATAACCCATCCCTCATCCACATGCAGGGAAGGCTGCGTCAGGCGGCCAGAGGCAGGGACGCCCTCCTGACTCTGCAGCTTCACACTTCCATCATGGCAAGTTCAGTCCCGGTGTAGCAAAAAGTCGTTAAAGGGTTACCAGAGCTTTATAGAAACATGTCTTAACCTTGGTCGAACAAACCAGTTCTATATTCCTGCCTTTAACTTCTAACAATCTCGATCTTCAATTCATTCAGATGTTGTCACAGGATTTGATGTCTTTTCCATTTCTCTTTTTCCTATCCCAAAGGCTTCTTCACGGTTTTACCAAACCTCTTCTCTAAATCCAATAAAAAGTCATTGTCCGGGTCATTCTCTTGACTTATCATTTGTATTTCTGCTTTAATTTTCAAGGCTTTAACCAACTTCTTTTATATATCCATTAGAACAGGGGTTCCCAACGTGGGGTGCAGGATGGAATTTCAGGGGTATGACAATTTTGTGCACTGTTAAAAGCTTATTTTCTTAAGTTCAATTTGTTCACCTGCATTAGAGATTAGATTTCTTCATCTTCAAATGTGATATGACTTTTGTAGGGGTGCAAACATTAATGAAACGTTTCCTAGGGGTGTGGGGCACAGAGAAGGTTGGGAACTGCTCCATTAGGAAGTCCTTATCCAGGTC